CGAGTAATAGCAACTCTAACAGAAGTTGGTAAGATGTTTCGAATAGTCACTGGTAAAAGTTGTTGCATCAACACATGACAATCATGAGACTTTAAACCAACTAATTTCAACTCTTGCATAGACACAAGACTCTTAACATTTGAGGAGTATCCTTGTGGAACTTTGACCACACGTAAACACTCACAAAAACTTCTCTTTTCTTTCTTTGATAGAGTATGACAAGCTGGAGGTAAGTAAGTGCGTTTTCCAACTAATTGTGGATGTAATTCAGAACGCATACCCATGTCTGCCAAATCTTGTCGTGCTTTTATTCCATCTTTTGTCTTTCCTTTTATCTTAAACAATGTCCCAATTATACTATCACAAATATTTTTTTCAACATGCATCACATCTATACAATGTCTAACTTCCAACTTACACCAATAAGGAAGATTGAAGAATACAGACTGTTTCTTCCAAATGTTTTTCTCATTAGATTTCTTTTGGGTCTTTCCAAACACAATATTAATATTTTTTACTTGCTCATATACTTGTTCACCATTGCATGGTACTGATGCAACTGCATTCTCCTGACATCCATTAAATGCTTTCTTCATTTTACGATATGGATGGTTAGCAACTAGAAACTTTCTATGCCTATTGTACGCAGTTTTTTGACCATGTTTCAATTAGATATAACTTGTGTCTTCTTGAAATAAAGGGAACGCTAAATGACCTTTCACACTATAACCGCTCAAATTACCATATGATGGAAAATCATTTATAGTACAAAATAACATTGCACGCAACCTGAAATTCACTTTGTGATATGAATCAAATACCTCCACTCCTGTTTCCCACAACATCTTCAAATCATCAATTAAAGGACTAAGATATACATCTATGTCATTTCCTGGTTGTCGAGGTCCTGAAATCATCATAGATAACATAATATATTTTCTCTTCATGCATAACCAAGGAGGAAAATTGTAAATGATCAACAAAACTGGCCATGAACTATGTTTACTACTTAAATTTCCATAAGGATTCATCCCATCTGTAGCTAATCCAATTCCCAAGTTTCTTGGCTCTGCACCAAATTATGGGAAGGTTTCATCAATCCTTTTCCATTGTGGAGAATCAGCTGGATGTCGAAGAAGATTGTCACATTTTCTACCATTTGCATGCCATGTCAAGTTTCTTGCATCTTCTTTTATGGCAAATAATCTTTTAAACCTAGGTATAATTGGCAAATACCATAACACCTTAGCAGGGGGACCATCTAGTTCTTCCTCACCACTACTTTTCTCAACTTTGTTTTTGAACCTCGACAAACCACATGTCGGACACATCTTTAATTTAGCAAAATCATTTATGTATAATATACAATCATTAGGACATGCATGTATCTTCTTGTACTCTAAACCTATTGGACATAATATCTTCTTTGCCTCATAGTTATGAATAGGTAATGTATTATCTTTAGGAAGCATCTCCTTCAACAACTCTAATAATTCGGTGAAACTTTTATCAGTCTATCCATTTCTTGCTTTTAAAGTAAACAATTTTAAAGTTGCTGATAATCTTGTAAAACTACATCCTATGTACAATTGTTGCGCAAAATCAGATTTCAAAGAATCATATAGATTTGCTTTCATAAAATTTTCTTCACCAATATCACGTATCATATTCTCTAGATTATCATCCATCCCTTCGTCAAAATTGTCTGTATTTGACATAGTTGGGATGTCTAATATTTCTCCATGCCATGTCCATATTGTATAACTCTTAATAATACCATAAACAAACAAGTGATCACGTATATCCTCAAGTTTATGACGAATTTGATTCAAACAACGAACACATGGACAATAATAGGTCCCTTTCATAGCTTTTCCATTTTCACTAGCAAATTTCAAAAATTCCTCAACTCCCTTTTCGTACTCTTCACTAATCGACGTGCATTCATCCAACTTTGATTCATATTATGTTATAAAGTTTCGTCACTCCTAGAGATTTAAAATTTATATGTAAAAAGAAATTAATATACAAACAACAAAGCACGTAAATGGAGTGTGTAAATCGAAAATGCACTCAAACAAATAAACAAATAATTACATTCCAATAACAATCCAGTGAAGACATTCATACAATAACGTGATTGAGATCCCCAAAAACAATCACAGATTCAATTTAAACATATATCAGAAGACATAGAACACTAATCTCGAGTGTACACGAAAATGATTTCAAACTTGAATCCAATTGGAGAGAAATGTCCAGTTCATAAAACGAGACACAATGTTGATGTTTTTCACTGTCAAAATGATCGAAAATAGTGTGCAAAGGTAGCTGTCGTCGTCGTTCTAAAAAACCCTTGCTGCACGAGACGAAGGAGCGGGTCTGGAAGAGAATTAAAGGCAGTTTTTACGTCGCGTGCTGGGGTGTGCAACGTAAAAGTTTTGCCTCTTATTTATAAAATTGCCACCGCGTTTTATTTATATCAAATATTTTTATATGCGACGATAATTGGGTGACGTAGAAGCCCTTTTTGCACTAGTGATGTAAACATTTTTTTATGTTACCTATCTCATAATAAATAATTCTAAAATTTTAATATTATTTACATTTTATTTTTAATTTTATTTCAAAAAAAATGTTTTTGATATTAATTATTCTCACACATATACCATATTAAGAAATAATAATGATAATTTAAAATAATAATATGTTGTATACATATTTACTATTTTATTAAAATATTAAATATTTCAACATAATTTCATATATAAAAGATTCGTTATATATTTACATAGATTATTCTGCACCATATAAGTTTTATCCTTTCAAATGTTTTTTTCCAACATTGTTTCCATTATAAATGTTAATTAAAAAGTATAAAAATTAATGTGAAAACGGGCACTTAGCTTAGTTTGGTGTAGTTTATGGGTGAAATAAGAAAAGAAAAATTGATAGTTGAACTTATTTATATTTTAAAACAAATCATAATTTCTAATTTAAATATATTTAATAATTATTATTTGGTTTTGTTCAAATGATAAATATTTTGTAAAGATATATAAAAATATAATAACATTTTATATTATACTAATAGGCATTTTGAACATTTTAAAAAAATTAAATAATAAGTAATATATAGTTTTATAAATATGTGGTTAAACTTAAATTGTTTTTTCTTAATACTTATTTCTTATCTATTTTATTATAATTTGTTATAAATGGTGAACATATGATAGTAAAATACCATAAAACTGAAATTATTTTTTGAAGCGATTCTTTAAAACAAAACATTAAGTTCAATAAATATTGATCAGTCCAATATCTTCCATATAATCTATCCATCATGTATAAAGAATACTCTGTAGCTTTATTTTATATTATAATTTGTATATCAATTATTCAATTTTATGCACAAAATATTGTTTAATTAGAAAAAAACTTTTTATTTCTAAAACACTTATTTTAAGTTAAACAAACAGATTATCCATTTTTAAACAAACTGTTCTTGGTGCCACCATATGATTATTTTGGAAGTTCTTATCTTTTTAGATTCCCCAATCCATGCACGTCAACCTTGCTCGACACTTATATAGGACCCAACACGCACGCCCATGAGAATTGTTTGATTAAAAGTTCTAAAAAATTAGCACGTGCGTTTAAAGCATAACACGCGTGGTGATAATGTTAAGTTTTTGCCAAGAGATTGAAAGTGTTAAGAAGTGTTTCTTTTGGGTGTATAAAGATTTAGAATAGGAGATAAATCACATTAAAAGTAAGGTAAATTCCTGAGTTTTGAAGAATCTTATAAAGGCTTTATATTTATCTCACTATAAGAAAATCAAATGCATAATAAATTGTTTGATTACATAGGGATGGCTTCGTGGAAGAAGTTAAATGTTTAAGTAAACAGAAGAAAGAGAGAGTGAGATATAAATTAATTGATGTTGGAGTTTAAATACAAAAATATATAAAGTTTAAATTATTAGATGTATAAATTGGAATACCAATAATTATAATATTTTTTTTAGAATAAAAACAGTTTTCTCTGTACTGAGAATTCACTAAGGGATTTAAGAGGAAATATGACATCAGGTTAAGAGAAATTGATGTAATATATGAAATACTAGGTCGATTATATGTATAATATAATATGTCATATATTATATCGATTTTAATATAATTATTATTATTATTATTATTATAATATTTTATTGTAAAATGTATTTTCTGCACTAATGATTACTAAACATATAAGATTTGTTGTGTTTATGAAGCTAGTTTTTGAATGTGTTGAACATATCTGCTCCCTGCACTAGTTTTGATGGCTTTGTGTGATGAAAGTATAGTTGCTTAGAGTATATCTGCTAGTTATTGGTTTAAAAGTAAACAGGATATTTTGTGTGGTCTAATATTTTTAATTTTATAGATTATGAATTTTACAGATTGATCTCCTGAGTTTCGTTTTAGTTAATTTTGGCTATGATGTCATTTGTTTTAGTCTTGTTTCCTCCTAAGTTGTCACTGTTTTTGACAAAGTTGAGAAATATATAATAAAAATTAGGATTTATTGGTAACAAATATTTCCCTTCATCAATTATTATTAGTAATGTGAATGGGTGGATAGAGAAAAAAATGATATTGATCTATTTTTCCATGATTTTATATTATTTGTATTTTAATAAGTTGATATTCAAATCCTTTTAGTTTTCATTGCACTTTAATGAATCATTAAGAGTTGTGCGTAGAAAAGTTAAATTTGAAAAATATAAAAAAATGAATTACGAAGTACACAACATTGATATCCAATGCGTTCTGCTTCTGAGTGATCTCGTGTATGAGTTGTGTTAAGTTATTGTGTTCGTCTTAAAACACAAAAGAAGACACAAATAAGTGCATAGAACTCACAGTGATAGTTGTTACATTATTCATAGTTCTTGCAATAAGAGGTGCATAGAACTCTCACGCGTTGAATCTTATATCATATATTCGTACTTGCTACATTATTCATGGTTCTTCCAAGCTATAAGAGCTGCATAGAACTCACTTGCTTCAACCTTATTCTACACATACTACAACAACCCTTGATAAAGCACACAACATAATTATATAAATATTTTGTTTAGAAATGCCCAATTAGAGAGGGTTTTGTCTGAAGGAACCCCAAGAGCTTCAACAAATGGTCTTCCTCCTCTTTCAGTAGATTTTCGTTTCAGACGATCCTGTCTTTCTTCATACAAAATCTCAGCCAACCTGTCAAGAGCCTCAGCATTTGTTCCTTCCCCTGCGTCTTCAAAATTAAAAGTATCCAAATTCATCCTCACAACTTTTTCTTTTAACAGATTTATTCCAGTGTCACTAAGACCCTTCAAGTTTTCTTTTGTAACATTAGCCATGTCGCTGAAAGCAAGATCCAAGTTATATTCCTGCATGGATTACATTATTCATCAATTATTCCGAAGTATATAATCCAAAACAACAAATTACTTTATTATATTATTAAATATAATTATTAGATGAATGTATGTTAAAAAGTAGGTTGTGAATTAATCTTTATCCAAGAGGTGTTAATATTTTGACACCGTTCAACAATCATAAATAATAATAAAATAATAAATAATAATATTATAATAATATTTTGAGTAGGACTAGTTGATCGATGTCGTACTCGGTCAAATAATTAAAACAATTAAAATAGATAAATGTAGTACTAGGAAGCTTTCCTAGGTCGTCTCCCAAAGACCACGAATTTCTATCAAAGCTTATCAATTTTTAAAATTAGAACAAGAACAAAAAAAAGGGAGTTTTTCAAAATTAAAATATTAGATGAAATAGAACAAAAAAAGATTATAAAAATGCGGATTAAAAACAGATTAAAATGCAATTGATTTCCTGATTCTAATGTAGTGTCACTTATCCTAGATTACGAAATTAATTCGAAATTAACCAACTAAGCGAAGATAAATCCCAAATTATATTCTAATTCGAAATTAATCAACTAAGCGAAGATTAATCTCAAATTAGCTTTAACCCTTGTTCCAATTCGAAATTAACCAACTAAGCGAAGATTTATCCAAATTTTCCTTAACCCTTATTCCAACATGAAATTAACCAACTAAGCGAAGATTAACCCTAAATTATCCTTATACAATTAAGCATTGCATACATCACATAATCTCATCTCTAGCACAGAATTAAGCAAACTGTGATATTAGTTTCGGTTTATTAAGCATAAACAGATTATAATTCAACACTGAGATTAGAAGATGAAGAGTTAAGAGAACAAACAAAATGAAATTGAAGAACAAAACCTCAAAGATCTACTTGCATTCTTCTTAGAAAATCAATACAAAGATTTAGTTATCCATGGAAAGTTGAAAACGCAATAGAAGAAACATAATTAAAATCGAAACAAGAATTTAAAAATAATGACAGAAGAGTAAACAAACTTGAATATAAATTGCAGAAGATGAAAGGCGGTTGTGTGGTGGTTTCATGGCAGCAAAAAACGAAATTGAACCAAACTCTTAATGAGCCTTGAGCAGTCCAAATTAAAATGCAGAGAAAACCAGCATGAAAACAAATGTGAAACAGAACTACAGTGGCTGCCTCTCTCCTCCTCCTATTGCTCCTCTAAAAATACCAGCCTACCCTAACCCTAGAGTCCCCTAGGAATGGGCCCAAGCTGGCCCACACGGGATTACACATCAAACAAACCCTAGTTGACGTGGCAATCATTAATATGATGTGGAAATAGCAACTGACATGGCAGGTGACGTGGCAGTGACATGACAGTGATGTGGAAACTCTTTTCATCTCAATATTAATGTCCATACTTCAAAATTGTTTCACCAAAAATACCTAAAAATAATTAGAAACAAAAATTAGACCAATTAATGCTAAATTAAGCAAAATTTGGAATAATGGCCCAATGAAGCCCAATTAATGAAAATGCACTAATAATAGACAATTAAACACAATGCACCAATTAAGATAAGTACATAAAGATAAGAAAATGCGGGAAAATAATGGCTCATCAAATTCCCCCACACTTAGCCTTTTGCACTCCCGGGCAAAATCAAGAAGCAAAGCAAGGAGCAATTCCAAAGACATCGAAGAGAGTGACACAACAAAAAGGAGCAAGAACAAGAAGACACACAAAACACAAACAAATTTACACAATCCTTAATGAATCCTGGGAAAAGAAAGGAGTATACAACATCCAACACACAAAGAGTCAGAGAAATTAGATACTCATGGAAATCATCCAAGCATTTCAAAACCTGGAAAGAGGTCAATCAGGTCAAAAGGTGAATCAAAGTGACAAAACCTCACAAGATGCACTGTATCTCTCATGTGTCTAGGCTACTGTATACTCTCAAAATACTCAAGAAAAGCAAACAACAGATAGACTTGGCAAGCCTCTAAACTCAACACCCAATACACATGCACAAAAAGATCAAAAGGTCTTTTCAGGTTATAATGGGGGTAGGGACAAGGTAGAGGATATCATATGGGATAAGTACCTGTGAATCAGAGGAACTAGAGGAGCAATGAGGAATAAGTAAAAAATAAGCACAAGATGCATGCCCAAAAACCTCTAATATCAAACCTCCACTACTGCCTTTACCTCAACCACAACTTTCCTTTTTTTTTAATATATATATATATATATATATATATATATATATATATATATATTTAAACTACATGAAATACACTTGAAAGGAAAACACAAAAACTGTACAACAGAGATAACCAACTAGCCAGTACATCATCCAATGAAATACAAAATGCACCCCCACACTTATTCAATAACTTATTCCCAAAACAATTCCAAAGCTCCAAAAATTCCTAAGGTTAAGGTAATCATGGTTTTTCACTTAAGGCTTTTAATGAGCTTCAAAAGAAATAAAGGGAAACATAGGCTCAAAGGGGCTATCAAAGGAATTAATTCAAGGTAGGCTCATTTGGCTAGAGGCTAATCAGAACAAAAATGCCTTAATCATCTCCAAACATGCATGTGAATCAAGAAGGATCAATCAGAGTCAAGTCAAGGCTACTGCGCAAGCAATCAAGAGGCATAACACTTAAGAAAGAACATGTAGTGGCTCAATTCCTCACAAAGGGTAAGATTGTCGCCTTCAATTCAACCTCTCAAACATCATAACCAACTTGACAAGCAGAAAAAAACAAGGATTTCAATCCAAAAAGCATAAAGCAACTCCTATCCCAAGAGTGAAGAAAGTGCCCGAAACCTAAACAAAACCCAAAGATCCAAAAGAAACATGCAAACTGTACACAAAAACACGAACCTGAAATACAAAGAAAACTAAAAATCCTAAACAAAGAACAATCTCCCCCACACTTAAACTACAAATTGTCCCAATGTAGCATAACATCAAGTCAAGCAATCAAATCACCAATTGGACAAGTGCAATAAAAGTATAGAGAAGGAAAAAGAGAACTCCCTAAGTCATGGTGGAAGGTAAGTGGGATCAATCAGGGATATCTCCTCCACAACTACATCCACTAGAGAAGGATTGCTGAGGAATGGTTTTAGTCGATGACCATTAACCTTGAAGCTCTTTTCTGTGGATTCACTTTTAATTTCAACTGCACCATAAGAATAAACATTAGTAACAATAAAAGGTCCAATCCACTTTGAACGCAACTTACCACCCATGAGACCCAATCTGGAATTGTACAATAGCACTTGCTGACCAACAAAGAACTCCTTCCTAGCTATGGAGCTATCATGAAATCTCTTAGTTTTCTCTTTGTAGAACATGGAGTTCTCATAAGCTTCCAAACGGATCTCATCCAATTCATTAATTTGTCGCTTCTTCTCCTCTCCAGCTTCATCAAGTGAGAAGTTGCATGATTTCACAGCCCAATATGCTCGGTGCTCTATCTCCACCGGTAGGTGGCATGGCTTACCAAAGACAACTCGATAGGGAGACATCCCTATAGGTGCCTTGTAAGCAGTCCTATGCGCCCAAAGAGCATCCTCCAGTCTGTTTCTCCAATCCTTTCTGTTAGGCTGGACAATCTTCTCTAAAATCCTCTTTATCTCCCTATTTGAGATTTCAGCCTGCCCATTAGTTTGGGGGTGGTAAGGTGTAGAGACTTTGTGAACAACCCCATACTTCTTGAGCAAGGCTTGCATGGACCTGTTACAGAAATGTGTGCCTTGATCACTAACAATGGCTCTAGGTACTCCAAATCTGCAAAAGATGTTAGATCTGATAAAATCCACAACAACCCGAGCATCATTAGTCCTGGTGGCTTTGGCTTCCACCCATTTTGAAACATAATCAACAGCAAGGAGAATATAATAAAAACCAAAAGAAACAGGGAAGGGACCCATGAAATCGATACCCCAGACATCAAACACCTCACAAAACAACATGGGTTGTTGGGGCATCTGCTATCTCCATGTAAGGGACCCTCCTGCTCTCGACACTTGCTCACAAGTGCTTGCAAATTCTCAACGCATCCTTGAAGATGGTGGGCCAATAGAAACCACGGTCAAGCACCTTGCGAGCTGTCCTCTGAATGCCAAGATGACCACCGGTTGCGGAAGAATGACAAAATTGCGGGACCGAGTCAATCTCATGGTCCGGAATGCATCTCCTGGTAACCTGATCACTGCACAACTTCCACAAATACGGGTCATCCCAAATATAATACTTAGCGTCGCTCTTAAGTTTATCACATTGAGATCTGGATGCTAAGGGAGGAAAAATAGAAGCTACAAGATAATTAACAATGTTTGCAAACCAAGGTGTTGGAAAAGAAGCAGAAAGTGCAAACAAACCCTCTTCGAGAAAGTCATCCCGGATTGGTGAAGCATCATCAGCACACCTCTCTATTCTGCTCAAATGGTCTACAACCAAATTTTGTGCTCCACTCCTATCACGAATCTCCAAATCAAATTCTTGGAGCCAGAGCATCCACCTAATCAATCGAGGCTTTGACTCAGCCTTCTTTAGTAGGTACTTCAAAGCTGCATGGTCAGTGAATACAATAACACGAGAACCAAGCAAATATGATCTAAATTTATCAAGAGCAAACACAATGGCAAGAAGCTCTTTCTCAGTGGTGGTATAGTTTGCTTGGGCAGCATCTAAAGTCCTGGAAGCATAATATATTACCCGAGGCAGGTTATCAACTCTCTGTGCTAGGACAACCCCCAATGCATAATTAGATGCATCACACATCAACTCAAATGGGACTGTCCAGTCAGGTGTCTGGATGATAGGAGTGGTGGTCAATGCTTCCTTGAGGCAGTCAAATGCCTTTTTGCACCTGTCATCAAAATCAAATTCAATATCTTTCTGAAGCAGATTGGATAGTGGAAGGGTCTTCTTACTGAAGTCTCTAATGAACCTCCTGTAGAAACCTGCATGGCCAAGAAAAGATCGAACCTCTCGCACACAAGAGGGGTAAGGCAATTGTGAAATGATAGATATTTTTGCAGGATTCACTTCTATGCCCTTACTAGAAATTATATGCCCAAAAACTATACCCTGTTCTACCATGAAGTGACATTTTTCAAAATTCAGAACAAGATTAGTTTCAATGCATCTATTAAGCACTCTATCCAAATTATCTAAGCATGCATCAAACGAGGATCCATACATAGTGAAATCATCCATAAACACCTCTATACAATTTTCAAGGAAATCTGAAAAGATACTATGCATACATCGCTGGAAGGTACCAGGGGCATTGCATAGGCCAAAAGGCATTCTCCTATAGGAAAAAGTGCCAAAGGGGCAGGTGAATGTGGTTTTCTCCGATCCTTAGGAGCAATATGGATCCGAAAATAACCGGAGAAACCATCCGAGAAAGTAGTAACGAGATTTACCTGCCAGGACGCTCAAGCATCCGGTCAATGAAAGGCGATGAAAAATGATCCTTCCGTGTTGCTCGATTAAGCCTTCGGTGAGTCGATACTGAGACCCTCCAAGCTGTTTTGTATTCGGTGGGAATGAGCTCATCCCTTTCATTCTTCACAACGGTGAGGCCTGTCTTCTTGGGGACCACACGGACTGGACTCACCCACCGACTATCGATATAGGATAGATGATCCCGGCCTGAAGAAGCTTGGTCACCTCCTTCTTCACAACATCCAAAATCATGGGGTTGAGTCGTCTATGTGGTTGTCTCACTTGGTTTGGCTCCATCCTCCAATAATATCCTATGCATGCATGTGGATGGGCTGATACCGGGAATGTCCGCCGAGGTCCAGTCGATGGCTTTCTTATGCCTTTTCGGAACATGCAACGAGTTTCTCCTCTTGAACAACATCAAGGGAGGTGGAAATGATCACTGGAAACTTCTCATCATCCTCCAAATAAGCATACTTGAGGTTTTACGGTAAAGTCTTTAGTTACGGAGTGGGTCGTTGGCTGAACAAAAGGAACCGAGAGAGGGAAGAAGAATGGGTTCCACGACTTGTACCTCAACCTGCAAGTCAGATTCATGTATA